TCCCATCCCAGCCGAGCCCATCCCATGGATCCCAGCCCAGTCCATCCCATCCCAGCAAAAAGAAGTGGAGGTGAGGGAGCAGTGCACAGGGCCCCAAGAGTCCTTCAGAGATGGAGAGGGAGGAGGGGTCCCAGGGGGTCCCATGATCACTTGGAGATGGAGAGAAAAGTAGGATTAAGAAGGGGTCCATCCCATCCCATCCCATCCCATCCCATCCCATCCCATCCCATCCCATCCCATCCCATCCCATCCCATCCCTCTCCTCCCTGGGCAGGCTGGGGAAAGCCCAGGAGCTGTGGCCAGGGGGATTTTGGAGGTTTGTGCCCCCCTACAGCCCTGCAGCTCCCCAGGCACCATTCTGCCATGCTGAGGATGGTGTCTGTGTCCCCTGGATGATCCCATCCCAGAACACACCTCCTGTGTGGGAGCCAGCTGTGTGCTCCAGACATCTCCGAGGGGATCAGGGCAGCCCTGAAAGCTTGGCTGCTGTCTCCAGATGTCTGGAAACTGCCAGACAGGGGATTGAGGAGGGGGAATGGTGGATGGGAGCCAGGGGACTGAGCCCTCTGGAGCTGTCTCCCTGTTTATTTGGGGCAAAATTCAAGTTATTTACAGCAAAAAAAAGCAGAGCCGACTCTGCCTTGGTTATTCTTGGCCATCCCAGCTGGTGTCCCGGTCCAGGAGCAAGCAGGGGGGAAGCCAAATTCATCCTCTCTCTCCAAAAAGTGAAATATTTCACATCCATCACGTCAGATATGAAATACCTCCCAATTTTTTCCCCCTGCTTGATGCAGGGAGTGGTGGGGTCTCGGGTTGCTGTTGTTAATTGCAGCCCTGAGATGTGCAGGGTGTCTCTGCTTCAGCCCACACAACTGAAGAACGAGTCTGGACTCTTCACTTTTCAGTCTTGAGGTTGTTTATTAATTCTTATCTATAAAATTTTCTTTCTGCCCAGCTGAGATCTGCTCAGCAGGGCAGCCACAGGCACTCTGTGTTGTCCTTTTATACTACAAACTACCTATAACATATTTACACTTAATTCCCAATACCTATCACCTGTGTTAGACAGTGCACTTCTACTCTAAACCAATCCCAAAGTGCCAACAGCACTGCAGAAAATGGAGAACAAGAAGAAGGACTAGACAGGCCCAGATTCCTCCATCTTGTCCCCATAACCCCCACCAAAAATCCTAAAATCTACATTTTCACCCTGTGAATATTTTATTATAACACTATTCAAACCTCTGTGACTTTCACATCCTCATACAAAGCTGGTAACTCACTCCAAGGGTCAAAATCAAATCCCCAGGTGCTCTGGGCTGTGTGCCAGGGTCTCTGAGCCCCCTGACAGGTTCCTCAGCAACTCTGGACATCCAGAGGGATGTGCTGAGTTCCCACAGTGGGAGTGTGGTCTGACCCCTGTCTGTCCTGCAGCGGGGTGGCTCGGCACACAACTGCGGGAAGCTGAAGGTGGGACACGTCATCCTGGAGGTGAACGGCACGGGGCTGCGGGGCAAGGAGCACCGCGAGGCCGCCCGCATCATCGCCGAGGCCTTCAAGCTGAAGGACAAGGACTACATCGATTTCTTGGTCACAGAGTTCAACGTGGCCCTTTAGGGGCTGGGTTTGGGCAGCACTGGGATGGAGATGGAGGATGGCAGCGAGGTGGGACAGCAGCGTCCCACGGCCCCGCACGCGCACACACACCCCCAGCTTGTCCCCAAATGTCCCCGCACCTGCTGCAGGCTCGCTGCCTGCCTAGGGCACATCCCTTCAAGTTTCCATCCCTGTCCTCTCTGGGGTAGGGAATGTCGTCTCCCCCTTGGCCAGGCTGGGAGCGGGGCAGGAGGACGGCACAGTCTGGGTGTCCCCGCTGTCATTTGAGTGCCACACACAGAGCAAGGTGGGCCCGTGGCTCAGGCTGCAGGGATTTCAGGGGATTGCTGCTCCTTTGGGTGGTCCCCAAGGTGCCCAGGTGGGTGGTGCCAGCCACGGGTGGGGATGCAGAGAGAGCAACCGGAGGCCTTGTAAATCGCTGGCAATGTCGTTGTATTTATATATACAGAGCTTGTGCTTTTAATTTTTCAATAAATCTATCAGGGTAGAAAAAAGGCTGCACTTGCGGGGTGCTTTGGGGCTGGGATGAGGGGGTCAGAAGGGGCAGGGGTGCCAGGATACTTTCCTTAATATTCTGGGAGCTTCCCATGGCTGGCAGGGTGGGTGGGTTGCAGTGGTGGTGGTGGTGAGGGGAGGGGATGCTCTATGTCAGCCCCATCTCATCCTTGACCCATCCAGTCCTTATTCCCATCCTATCCCATGCCCAGTCCTATCCCCATTTCATTCCATCCCACCTCATTATTTCCCATCTCAATCGCTCCTCATTCCTACCCCATTCCTTTTCCATTCTTATCTCAATCCCTGCCAAGGATCTCTGGGATTGGCCATCCCATGGATCCC